CATGCACGCACACACACACACACACACAGAGTACTTTTTCTTTCTCAGAGAGCCAGTTATTAAACTTGTGCCATGATCCCACCTCCAGAAGCCACTTTTGTTGGTCTGAGATGTGATCTCAGCATTGGCTTTTTTAAAACTTCTCTCCAGTTATTCTAGTATGAGGCCAATATTAAGACTTTCTCGCTTAGGGAAGATCAAAGTGCAGGGAGAAGAATTCCCTTAAGATTTTGTTCTTTTTATCAGAAGCGCCACTTGAACCTAAGCAAAGGGGATATGAGGGGATGTGAGTTCCTCCAGAAACTGAACACACCCCAACTGCTCTGAACTGAATTTTCCTGGAAGGGCATTCTCAGAGTCTCCTGCATAGGCCACTGTTATTTTTTCCCAGTGTGACTTCACTGTCACTCCTCCTACAGCCCCCTTTTCTCTCCTGTCTCTGCCTGAAGTGTATCCATCACTCACAGTCCACATTAGAGAGCACCTCTTCCATCAAGACCTTCCCAGCTGGGACATTTCCCACTCCAAGATCCATGTAATTACCCCTTGCTAACAAAACTCTGACTTACTGGGGCAGCATTAGGCCCCCCTAAACACAGTTTCCAGGCCTCCCTTACAGCCAGATGTGGCCGATATGACAGTTTTAGCGACCAAAACCTACGCTGAAATCTGCTCGTGCTCTCCTGATGGACCTGTTAGACATGGCAGGAGCACGCGCCCACTTCTCTGCTGTGGTCATCTTCAAAGCAGGAGGCAACCTATCAATAGCCAAAGGATGGGAGTATAGGATAACCAAAGGAACTGGGCTTCAAGTCCATGACAGAGCTGTAGTACCAGATCTTGACTTCTTGCCTTTTAAAGTCTTATTCTGTGTGACAGATAATCCCCTAATTGTTGGAGCCACTCCTAGTTGGATATTCTATGGCTGTACCCAGCAGTACTAATAGAAATGCTAGTCCAGTAACCTCACAATGATTGCCCCTGCTGTAACTCTAACCTCCTCCAGATTTGTTCTGCACCACCTATCACAAGAATGTGGATGGTGGATCATATCCCAGATATTCAATTAGAAATCAGTTGTTTGAAATTTGGGTACATGTCTCTATAAGATTAGACTACTCCAGCAAATCCAGAGCAAGGGTTTGTGATAATATGTCAACTACTAGAAAGACTGAGATAACTAGAAATGAAATTTAGGAAGACTTTAGCACATGTAGCTTTATAAAGATGTTAGGTCCCTAACAATTACTTGCAAATAGAAAACATATAAGATTGAATGATTCCCAAAAATTTGGTTTTTGTCCATGACTTATTTTTGAGGCAGGAGGAGCGCATGCAGGTACAGCGTGAACTCTTTGGGTGCAAGTGCTTGGATCAGAATGAAAAGAGCACAGAGCACGCAAAGGCTACATCTGAGAAGTGCAGGAGAAAAGGGTTGGTGACAGCTGTGCACTGAGCTCAACAGACCACATTAGCAATAACTATTGCACACACGGTTGCATTCTATTTTTGTATCACATTAACAGATATATTATTGGTAATTGTTCTTAATAGAATCACAGAAATGAGAGATGGAAATGCTATACAGTATGATGGAATGTTGTTCCTTTACCATTGATCATTATAATAAGCCTGCTCAGTCATTACTTACAAACCATACTACAACTTTGCCAATGAGGCAGACCAAAATGAGGAGATAAAAAAAATTGGTTTCCTTGCTAAATGTGAGGCCTAAGTTTTAAGATATTTTGCTGAAGTTTTAAACTGATTGTCAATTAGTCAATGAGCTATGGCAGGCAGTGTATTTCTGGGTAATTAGTGTGTGTCTTAGGGGGGTTATTTGGCATGAGGCTGAGGGCAAAGTAATTTGTATCTCCCAGGAAGTGCAATAATTGCCTTGAGCTGAACTGCTTGGAAAGTGTATTAATTCTATTAGGAAACATTTATGTTATTTTATATGGCATCCTGTATATTCATGAAGTGTACTCATAATCCATGAATTATTCAATTTGGGATTTTTCTCATAAAAGTACAGTACCAACAATAAGCAAGAAAAGGGTGTGTGTGGTTGAAGAACCCATGCATTATCAGAAAGGTCAGTATTGACTTCTAAAATCCATCTTACTTGGAGACCCCTGAATCCTAGCAGATGAAAAGCTAGTCTTGAAAAAGGTAAGGGAAGGCTAAGTGCATAAAACAGTATCTGGAAGCCAACAGGCTTTCTATTTGGGGTTTGCTATACAGTCTGTGAGACTTGGGAGGTACACAAACTATAGGCTTGATCTTGGACACTTGTTTTCCCAACCCTTTACAGGAGATTCAGGGCACAACAATCATTAACTCATTCAATCAACAAATGTTTACAAATGAATGGCCAGATAGACTACTTACTCCAACTTAGCATCTTATAACAACACATATTCATTATCTATATATGGAATAGCAGGTTCCTCTGCCTCAAGTCTCTTGCAAGGCGACAACCAATGTGTCAGTCCAGAGTCTGTGGGCTCCTCTGAAGGGTCATTTGGGGAAAAATTTGCTTCCATGGTCAGGTTCAAGCCTTCAAACTCTTCAGGGCTTTTGACTGAGGACCTAAGTTCCAGAGTTCACCCACCCACCCCCCACCCCCGCCGCCAGTTCCTTCCCATATGAATCTCTCCAGAATGCAAAGCTGCTTCAAGTTCATTCACTGCAAGCCAAGAAGGCAATAGACAGCTTGCTGACAAGGCAAAGTTCACAATCTCCTTCTTGATAATTGCCAAAGTGATGTCCCATCACCTTTGATATCATCTGTTGATTCAAAGCAAACCACTGGATTCAGAGGGGAGTGAAGGAGAGGAGTTTACACACCTGTAACACAGAGGTGGGATCTTCAGATCCATGTGGAAGCTCACCCACCACAGCCAGGCTCTGCTCCCATGGCTTCCCAATCTACCAGCAGCTCTCAAATCTGAGAGGGAGGAACAGTAGAGACTTAACTCAACCTGGGAGACTAGGGGAAGTCTCTCTGAGCAAATGACATTTAATTTGCAAACTGAATAATAAAGAAAAGTTTCTGCTTGTATACAGAGTTGGGGAAGACCATGACAGGTTGGAGGAATTGAAACAAGACTTGAATGGCAGGGACAGAAAACACAAAGGGGAAAGTTGGACGGGGGAGGTTGGAAAGATGGGCTAGATCATGCCAACCTGGAGGTCAAGATGAAAAGTTAAATTTTATTCCAAGTGTAAGTGGAAAGCCACCAGAGTGACACAATCCAATTTACATTCATAAAGTATTGTCCTAGCTGCTGTGCAGAGAATGAACTGGAAGCAGAGACAGCAGTCAGGAACCGGCACTGGCAAGAGCTGAGCAGGTGATCACCTAGACTAGGAAGGTGGCAGGGAGGTGCAGAGAATGGATGCATACAAGATGAGCTCTAGAGTTTAAATGGACATCCTCCATGGGAATATGTGTGCATCAAGTTACTAGTTTTCTTCACTCTCTCTCCTCTTTGTCCATTTTAAAGAAATATAAAGAGAAAGCTGAAGAAAGGGATCTGTAGTCACAGTGGAAAAGAATGAGGCAGATAGAATAAGATAGGTGAGGAAGACCAGAGAGGAAGCAGCCTATGGGCAGGTTGGAGAGTAGCTTTAGAGGAATATTGCCCCATCTCTGCCTTCCTCAGCTGTATCACCTTGAATGTGATCTTTGTCTCCTCTTTTGTAAAAACATATGCCTTTCCAGATTACTGAAAGGATTAAAGAACAACCTCATACAGATCCTGGCAATTTTCTGTATGACTTATTTTCCTACTTTGTTCAGATCTCTACTTGATTGCCACAACTTTCCTTACTGACCCAGCTAAAATAGCACAATGGCAACTCCATTCTTGCTAAATGCCTCACCCCACTTTAGTCTGCTTCATAACACTGAGCACCAACAGCATGGCTTTGTGCACACTACATTCTCAGGCTCTGGAAGAGTCCCTGGCATGAAGTACGTACTCAATATTTGCTAAGTGTTGCTGGGTGTAGTTTAGAACAACAGCATACTGTGCAGCTGTCTCTAGTTTTCCAGATGTATTACTGACAGTGTGGAGAAATCTGCTTGGGAGGAAGTAAGTCATAGCAGCTGAACATGACATGTATAGGACTTCACAGTGCACACAGGTCTTCACTTGATTCCCAGCTTTGAAACCTCGAAGCAGGTCTCTGAGATAGACCATGCTGTAGTGTACAGGGGAGGCAATTATAGGAGAAAGAGATTAATAAATCTCTGTAAAATCCAGAAACAACAGACACTGGAAATCAATCCTGGGCCCTGCTTTAACGTGAATTCACTTCCCTACAAGGTAAAACTCTTAAGTATTCCTCTTGGCTCCTAGGCAGGATTGCTCATCTGTCCCTGCTGGAATCCTGCACCTAGTCCTTCGAAGTCATCCTCACTCTGTGCATCTCCAGCTTCTGCTCTCAGAGGCAGCTGATATCTAGCCCAATGTGACATAGCCATCTGCACCCAGTAGAATTGCTGGAAGTCAGGCAGCCCGTGTGGTCAGCCAGTCAACTTCCCCACATTCCAGACATCTTTCTTTCTTGCCAAATAACTTGCTGATGCCTCACTGTATTTCTTAGTTGAGATTAATCCTACTGTAGACTCCTGGCCTTCCCTGTGGCTCACATATGCTCATTAAATGAGTTTGGGGCATCTACACAGTCCCAAGCACTGTGTTAGGTACCCAGGACTAAAATGTCAAACAGAAAGACCTAAGGATCAAATTGTATAATAGATAATGTGAAATAAGAAGAAAAGGTCCAAAGGGGAAGGGGAAGTGAGAGGGTTAGGGGAAAGTAAAGAAGGGAAAGGAATAAATATGAGAAGAAGAAAAAAAAAAGAAAGACCTGTTCTATGCCCGCAGTAGTTTTCATCCAGAAGGGATAGCAGACTGTCTTAATCACTTTTCTCTCATTCCTGAGACAAAATACCCAACACTCAAAGTTAAAGGGGAAAAGATTTATTTGGCTTACAGTTCATAAGGGTTCCTCCGGTCCATAATGGACTGGTTCCAAGGCAGGGTGGCAGAGGGACAACAGTTCATGGTCCCTGGAAGACAGCAAAAGCAACAAGGGAGAACTTAACAGTGTCTTTCTGGCCCTTTTATCTTATCTAGACTACTTAGGGTGGGTAGCACTCACACTCTTAATCCTAGTGCCCTTGCGCCCAGCATTGCATCATGAATCAATTCCAGCACCACACACTCTAGATCTAGCTACCTCTGCAAAAGCCTATAATCACATGAGGCTTTGGGGGGACATGGAGGCACAAACCATAATGCAGACTGAGAACAAATCATGAGTTAGTACCACTGTGGTTGGTGCTACAAAGGGTAAGTGCAGGGTGACATGAGAGCACAGAAAGAGAGGCCATCTGAGACCCAGTCTTTGGATCCAGGAAGGTGTCCCCAAGGAAGGGTCAAACTGGATCTGAAAGACAACTAGATAAGAAAGCAGAACAACACACTAGGCATAGAGAAAGGTGTACAAGAGATCCTGAGGCCCAAAAGAGCTGCTAGAAACCACAAAAGCAAAAACATGAACAGAGGAGACACAAAGAAGGTTGACATCCAGGAAGGCTGGAGGAGGAGCTGGGAGACAGGAAAAGCCAGCCCCATGTGTCTAATTCCCCCTCCTCACCAAGGATGAGCAAGAACAGGGCCTTTACCTTGGTCTCACTTGACAGTTTTAGTAGAAACATCACTGGCACTTACTTGTGCCTAGAACAGTATATAATTCCATTCAAGGCACCATCTTGGCAACATCTTATCTTGGGGAAGTGTGTAGCTTCTCTCCTCTTGGTCATGCAGAATGGCTTTGTGATGTGAGCCACTTGAATTCACCAGACAATCAGAGATTTGTAAACTCAGCTTAGTGGATGCAAACTGGTTGTGGCTCCTTCCCAGGGAAATGCACTTTCTGTTCATGGCAGTGGGGTCCCATGCAATTTGCTTCTGGAAGCTTCCAACTGTTGATCTTTATCCTCAGTTTCACTAAGTTAGTGGTTCTCAGTGGGGGCATCATGGGAAGCTTGAGGGGGTGTTTTTGGTAGTTTGAATGATTGGGCAACTCCATTGCATTTATTGGGCAAAGGTAGAGCTGTAAACATTATGCAACATACAAGACAAGTCAGCATAATAAAAATTGTCCAGTGTCTTATATGACTTCAAAGTACCACCAGATATGTACATAGGTATAAAACCTTTCATGGTTTTCTGACACTAGGGCCTATGTTTTTCATATAAACACAATACTTTTTTTATAAATTGAATTATCCAATTATGAAACTATAGTGGAAATTGATGATTTGTTCTTCTAAAACTTTCCCCAGGGTTTGTGGTCATCTTCAAAGGTTACATTACAGTGTTTGACTCACCAATAGGATATTTCTGTATAAATTTGTCTTTGAAACTGTCACACTCATGATGAATATATATTTTAAAATGTCAGTTCTAAAGAAGGTATCATCAATAGTCAGTTAAATGTGTATTACTCCTCTTAAATCCAAAAGCACTCATTATAAGAAGAGGAAAGCAACCTTATGCCACCTAGTTACTTGGTACTAAGAGTGGTTCACAGACCAGGAGCATTTACATCATGATCATGATGAAGCTGGTTAGAAGGAAGGATCTCAGGCTCCACCCAGATCCACTGAATCTGGATCTGCAGTTCAATTTGATCTCCAGATGATTCACATGCACATAAAAGTTTGAGAAGCTCTCTTCTAGGTTCTGTAGGCTTGAGGAGTAGGGAAACACATATTCTTTTATTATAAATTGCTTTCACTTCATCTCCTCTCTTTATTACAGTTAAGAAAATATATATATTTAAATTGTACATAAAGATGTGTTCTATTATCAATGAATCTCATCTCAAGAAATTAATGGGTGTAAGAATGTATTTTAATGAAAGAGGATGTTGAGTCTGATCCACTGAGAATCCTCCCTCAAGATCCCAAAATTCAATAGTTGGCTGTGAGGGACTTTAGAGCATCTAAATGAGAGCAGAACATCAGGGTGAAATTTCTCTAGACTTGGCCGTTTCTAAATTCTAATGACTCCTAAATCTGTATTTCCAACTACTGAATAACAACAAATCTCACCTTCAGAGCATTCTGGATATATCCCTGGCCTCTAATAAACATTGACCATGTCACAGAGTAAGTGTCTTGCTGCTCCTACAAGGTTAGCCAACACTCATTGACTTATTTTGGAAACACTTGTTGATCTGCTTTGATGTGCGATGCAATGTTCACAGGGCTGTGCAGAATGGAAAGACAATGCCCACCTGGTGGAGCTCATCACAGCCTAGACCAGAGCTAAGAGGCTCATAGACATATAGGAAGGAATTAGGAAGTGGTGTGTACACTGAGGGAGGCACAGACAGTGCAAGATGCAATGATAGTGTGAGAGTGACAGAGATTACTTGGACTATGAGAAGGAGCCTTCTACAGCCACTAGAAAACCCATTGTTTCCCTTAGCAGCTCTCTGTTCTATGACACAGTTATTTAATCTTTCTCTACTCTCTTCAAACCATATACACTCTCATGTTGACCTTGTTTCCTTCATCTCAAAGGAAAATAAATCATGAGGTGGGAACTCATTCTCATTCCCATAATCATTACCCTGCACTTTTGTTGGCCTTTCATCCTCCCCTCCTCCTGTGACCACAGAAGTGATATCCTGCTTCTGGGAAAGCCTACTCTGCATCCCATCACTACTCTGCCACCTCCTACTGCATGGATAATTCCCTCTCTCCCCCAGAAGGTCCACATCACATATGCTTCAGTGTTTTTAACAATCACTCAAGTCTGCCTTCCACTCAAGTTATTGGATGCTCCTCTCCTTCACAACTGGGCATTTTTAAAAACAAGGTGTGTTTGCCCTCTCTGCCTTCACCTCCTAAGCTCCTCCTCATTCTACAACTCATAGTAACTAGTTTCTGACCTCATCACCCACAAAAACCTCTCTTACCCATACCACCATCAACTAGTTTGTTATTAAAGCCATCAAACTCAATAAACACTTTCTCTAGATTTGGCTATGTACATCACTTAATGACTCCTAAATCTATTGTTCCAACACTGTTCTCTCTTGGATAGACTTTTAGACAACTCCACTTAGATGTTGAAAAATTACCTCGAACTCAGAATATCCAAAACTAATTTAACCCACCATCTTTCTCCCCAAGGAATGCTCATCCTTCTTCAACTTCTTTGTCAGTAGATCACCATCCCCTATTTGTGCAAGCTAAAAACCTGAGCCTCATTCTTGACTCTTCCCACATTACCACACTCAACTAGTCACTCTCAATACAATGCCTAATTCTACAGCCTGAGTCCCACCACCATGCTCATGTGGTCACACCACCACCCATGTTCTCCTTATTTACTTCATGATAAAGATCAACAGTGAACTTCCTTTAGCACTTCACTTTATTCTCATTTATCTTCCAACTTGGACCATCTCAATTTTTTTCTAAAATAGAAATATAGTCAAATTACTCTTGCCCCCACCCTTCTAAAGCTCTGATGGATATTTTGTGGTCAAGAGGACCATACCAAACATCTTAGGGAATATGGTTTTGTTAGAAAAACAGAGTACACAGAATGGTTGGAATATTGTTCAGGATGTCTGTGGTACTACATTAGTCATCTTCCCATCACTGAGACAAAACACCCAACACTCACATCTTAAAGGAAGTGAGGGTTATTTTGGCTCATAGTTTCAGTGGACTTAATCCATGGTCACTTAGCTCCAAGGCAGAAACCACATGGCAGAGGAAAGCTGTTCATGGCATGATGGCCAGGAAGCAGAGAGAGAGAGGGAAGGAGCTAGGGATAAAAACACCCTTCCAAGTCATACCTTGCATTACTGGCACCTTCCCAACAGGACCCACCTCTGAATGTGAGACTTTGGGAGGACATTTTAGATTTCAACTGTAACAGTGGTACAGTCCCCTTCAAGGAAAGGAAGAGAAGAGCTAGAGAGGTCCATAGACCAGGCAAGGAAGGGCTTTGTCTGTCAAAGTAAGGGGTCTAAACACATCTAAGAGCAACAGAGAACACATCTGTGCAAGGTTTGAAGCATGTAAAGGATTTCATACAGGAGGCGCACTTTTGGTGCCTCCCACCCCCTTGCCTCCACTGTCCTCTGGTTTCAGCCTCAGCTGTGGGAGCTCAGTGAGAGGTCATACTCCCCATGACAGAGTCATCTCAACTATGACCCTCCTCAAGCTGAGGAAAGAGGGTTGTTCCCTCTTTCTTTCTCACTGGGGACTTCTTCAGGACAAAAACTGTCACCAGATGTGCAAAAATGCCTTGAAGAATCACACACACACACACACACAATTTGCAAGATCTTCAGGGTAAGAGAAGAAGAGATGAGGTTGAGTTCAACTGTTCAAGCCTTGGGTGACTGAGAAGATGAAGGTGACAGTGACAGAATCAGAGAGAACTCATCAGGGAACAGAGGCAACTGGAGATTATTGATAGGCAGGGAACAAAATCACAGAGAGGTGGAAATTCTACCTGCAGGAGAGAAAACATGGGGGAGGGTATGACACAAGAGCTCTCTTCAAATGTGTGAATGTCTATCCGTAAGTAGAGTCCATGAAAAGGGCGAGAGAGAAGGATTCTGAGCAAAGAGCAGAGCATCTCAAGGAGATGGATTATAGCTCAGTCTATATCAGTGCTTCTAATCCATCCCTACACCGGCATCCTGACTCCCTGGGACTCCTCAAACAGGATGTCCAGGAGGTGGGAAATCTCTGAATTCCACAACAGGTTGAACTGAGTTTGTATTCAGCCCTCCAGATCTAGGTTTCTGTGCTCCAACCTCCATTTTCCTTCTTCTCATTCCTGACGCTCCTTCACATTCTTGGCTTTTGCCTGGGGAGCAACTATGATCCTGAGAAGGAAGAAGCAGATGCTTGCCCTAAGGGCCCTCCACCCATTGCCCCCTCTAGGGACCTTTGCTCTTCCTCCTTTACTACCCCTCTCTGAAGCCAGAAAGTGCTTCACTCCCTTTCCAGGCCTCCTAATATGCCACCACCCCAGGCTTCCTACTAATTCAAATGTGCCTGTCCACATGCCCTGCCCTCAGGGTGATGTTCTGAGAAACTGAGCTGTGCTACTGATTTGAAAAGAAGTGGCTATTTGCATTCATTGACACAGACCAAAGAGCCTGGAACAACTGGTTAGGAGGTGTTTTGGTGCACCCCAACCGCATCATGCACGTGGCCATCTAGTTCCCCTGTCCTCTTTACCCTGAAAATCTTTCTTGACATTGTTTCCAGGAAAGGGCAAAGACCGCTTCTTCTACTTCTTGGGTCAATGTCACTCAGCAATATGTCACTTGTCTTTTTCTGGAAAAAGGGAGGCCTTTGACTCAAAACATTGTTCGGGAGAGCAATACAAAGAGAGAGAGACAGAGAGAGAGAGAAAGAGAGACAGAGAGAGAGAGAGAGACAGAGAGAGAGAGAGAGATCGGTCTTAAAATCAAATTGGCAAATTCATGATCATCTGACCTTCTCGGGGGGAGGACTTTTGAGAAATCTCTAAGCAAAGGAAAATTATTTCAGGTCCTTCATTCAGTAGATACTGTTGTTTTGGAACACCTGCAGTGAATTGAACACTAGAGGGGACCAAAAAAAAAGGAATTTACTTCCCTTGCCATTGGAATTGCGCTGGGAAGAAGAGATAGACACAGGGAGTCAATGACAATACAAGCAGAAAGAAAAGAAAAGGTGAGAGCAAGGTGGTTGGACAACCCAGAGGCCATTAGACCCTAGCGTGCCTAACAATCCTTGGGGTATGGGATCATTAAAAAGTCAGACTCCGAAGCTAGGCAATGTGGCCATGCCTGTAATCCCAACATTGAAGGAGGCTGAGCCAGGAGGATCACAAGTTTCCAGTTTCACTTAGGCAAGTTACTGAGACTCTGTTTTTATATAATTCTCACACAGTGTGCACAGACACCTTTTAATGAACATTGGTCCAGCCAGAAGTTCTCTGTGATACGCAGGAGAAGGGAAGCCCACTGGGCAGCCCAGGGAGAGAGCTGTTTTTGTGTTTAAATATTAGAAACCTGCCAAGGAA